AGTTGGCAAAGTGGGACAGGAGACCTGCAGAAGGTTCATTGTGATTCCAGTGTGAAACCCATCAAGACAGAAGAAATAACCAGAAAAGGAAAACCAACTAGGACTAAAAGAAGTGGAAATTTCACAAAGTAGTAAAAAAGATGGGCAATAAAAGAACAGCCTAAGGCCAAAATGTGTACAAGAAGGTTCACTGCAGCATTAACCACAAGAGGCAAAAGATGGAAAAAACCCAAATGCTCACCTGCTGATGAATGATCAGCACACTGAGGTTTAGTCACACTCTGGAACATTATTTGGCCATAAAAAAGGAGTGATGTATCAAAACTGAACGAACCCTCAAATCATCATGCAGAGTGAAAGATGCCTGTCATGAAAAGCCACACACTGCAGGAGTCCACTTGCATGAAATGTCCATACAAGGGAAATTCATAGAGAAGGAAGATGGGTGGTCACCTGGGGCTGGGAGAGAGAGGGCTGGGGTTTGTAGAAGTTGTGTGACTTGGGGTCTTAGGGAGACCAGGAGGTCAGGCCCACTCCTAGTTTCATTTCTCGGAGAACCCACTGGCAGTCAGAACTCAGGGGCCAGTCCCCAAGGCAGAAATGCCAGTGACCGAGTCCAGAGACATGCACTCTAGAGCCGGGATGCAGGGCACGGGCAGGCCTCCCAGGGAGCCGCTGCTAAAGCAGGTGCAGCATCAAAGGGCAGGAGCGCTGCCGACACTGGTCATAAAGGACAGGAGGAAAGTGAGAGCTGGATAAACATGCCCTTGGCTGAAGCTGAGGGCACATCCACAGCCACCTGCCTTTCATACCCCTACCCCAGAGCACAGGACATGCTCACTCCCAGGGTGGGTCCCACAGCTTGAGGGATGTGGGCAGGTTTGGAGCCAAGGACCCCAGTGAAATCAAGCCAACTCTCAATGCTTCTGTTCACTGGCTCTCCTCGGATAATGCTACTTAAGGCCTCCAGCCATCATTGGCAGGCTGTGTGTGTGTATTAGTCATTCAGTCATGTCTGACTCTTTGTGACCCAATGGACTATGGCTCACTAGGCTCCTCTGTCCATGGAATTCTCCAGGCAAGAATACTGGAGTGAGTGGATTGCCATTCCCTTCTCCACCCTCTCAGGTAGGAAGGCTAGAGGTCCCCAAGTAGAGGAAATAAACTGTAAGCAGGTCACGGCTTGCAGCTGCAACCTTTCACTGGGAGGCTGACATGCACTAATTCATGCAAACTCGTCCAGATGACATGAATTTCAAGTCAATTTCTCTGATACCTCTGAAACGGCAGCTCAGGGCCAGTTATGACTCATTAACAGCCTCCAACACTGCACTCACTCTTCTGATAGGATCCAATCCACTTCAAAAAGTTAACACCCAAAGGACTTTATGGTTCCTAGCACAAAAGGTGAGACTCCTGTATTTCAGATTAGATGAAGCCATTGCTCTCCATCCCAATCACTGCCCGAAATCCCTTACCAAGAGAGGATTAACTCCAGGTCACGGGTTCACACCTGGAAGGGGACCTGCAAGGCCAGAGAGCTGGAGGCTGAAAATCAAGAGAGCACAGGATGGTGCTTCCTGAGATCTGAGCAAGATGCCATCGGCATTTCATAGCTGGGCTATATTAAAGCAGTTACTCTGCTCTGAACCATCAAAGCAAGCAATGTGAAGGAAAGTTTTGCAGGATGCAGGATCTAAAGCAATTCTTCTCAGTCTGGGTACAGAGAGTGGAAGCATTCAGTGAGTGGCTACAGTGGTCAGACACTGATGATGCAGCAGCTACGTTCTGGAAGCTCAGCCAGCAGCATTCCCATTCTGCCAGGGAGGAGCCTGACCTTGGACAGAGAGCAGAGCCAAGACCTAAGGTCTGATCTGCCAGATTCCAGTGGACCCTCTTCTGCGTAAGTCACCAAAGTGTGCTTTGTTTTTCCAAATCTCAACACCTGACAACAGTTTCTGGGGAGAAAAGCTTTCAAATACATTTTCAAAGTGTGCATGTATGCTAAGTCACTTCATTTGTGTCTGACTCTTTGTGACTCTGTGGACTGTAGCCCACCAGTCTCCTCTTTCCATGGAATTCTCCAGGCAAGAATATCGGAGTGGGTTGCCATGTCCTCCTCCAGGGGATCTTCCTGACCCAAAGTTCAAATTCGCATCTCTTGTGTCTCCTGCATTGGCAGGCGGGTTCTTAACCCCTAGCGCCACCAAATGGCAACACCTAAATATCACAGCTTGATCCAGAACTTGTAACTGCACACACCTGTGGCCGGTTCTTCCGGACCCAACTTGTCCTCACCAGCAGCCCGACTGCCAGAAGCTCAGTAGAGCGTCCTGCACGGGACAGTAACAGGAGTGGGTCTTATTGTGAAAGTGATAAGAAAGCAGAGGCCCCCTTTCAGCAGCCCGCTCCCATGGAGCTCTGGGCAACTGTGGTTGCCTGGGAGGCCAATGACCTGAAGTATCAGAGCCCTAACCTGGGGGACAGCGGCCGCTGTCTATGCAACCCTGGATCCAAGAGCTTTACCTGTGGCCAGAAACACACTCGTTGGTTAAAGCCAGGAACAGAGGAAAGGAGGGGCACAGCAAGGCTTCACGCCCAACCAAGGGCTGTGCTGCAGGCCTCACTCTGGTCCAGGGACCAGCAGGTCTTCAGCTGGAAGGATGAGGTTTGCACCAAATAACGCTGGGGTCAAACCAGGCCCAGACTTGTGTCCCACTTCCACAGTCTCCATCCTGCATGATCTCGAACACACAACTCACCCAGCTTCACGTGTGACCACCAACAGTGCACAGCCCCAGAAGGCTACCAGGACCCCTCACCAAAGTCCAGCTTTTGATTTCTCTTGGGTACTGCCCCCTTTATCTCTAAAATGGGTCACAGGGTCTTATGTAGATCAAATAAAACAGCACGTGAGAGGCTCTGGTAGGCTGCCCCACTGTCCGCCCCCACCGTCCATTTCTCTCCTTGAGACAGTGAGAGTCCCATGAAATACTGATGAGGCAGTGGGAGCCCCAGATCCCCTCCAGGCCCCAGAGCTGGGAGCAGAGAACTGAGTCTCCGTGATGAAGACAGGACATCTGGAATCAAGTGTCCACATGTGAACGAGCTCACGGCTGGTGGAGGAGGCACAACACTTTGCTCAGACATAACAGGGGGTCCGGGTCCTGACTGAAGGTCACTGCGGAGGGTCCACTCCAGGACAGCAGAGACAAATACAGTTTAGGTCAGTGTGTGTGTGTGTTTTAACCAGTAGGGACTAGAAATGGAAGTGCACAGAGAAGGGAGGGCCAAAAGACATCATTTTCTAGCCAAAACCATAGGCTGCCAAACCTTCCTTCACCCTGGAGAGTTTTGCCCTAGGGAAGCATGGCTGAGACTGCTTCCTGCCAGCCAATGCCCCCCACCTTCACAGGAGTGGGGGGGTCAGTGGTGCCCTCCTCCAGGAACCCAAGCCAGGGACTGAGGCTCCAAGTGAGAGCTAAGGGCTCTGGGAAGGAGCAATGAGTTCACCAATGCAGGTCAGCCCCACAGAGGAGCCTGGAGAGTTGGGGAGATGGAGGGAACCTCAGGAAGGGTAATGATTCCACATGAGGGAAACTGCATGTTTTGTGGAAGGTGGCTGTGTAAGGGTCTGCAGGGCCTTGGCAGCAAGGGGCCATCCACGCAGCGCCTACAACAATGAGAACTCAGAACCCCCGTGAGCTCCACCGGGAGCAAGTGCAACAGACGAGGGGCCAGACAGGGGTAGGAAATTAAAAGGTACAAACTATTATGTATAAAATAAATGTGCCATGAGGATATATTGCACAGCATAGGAATATGACCAATATTCTATCATAACTCTAAATGGAGTATAATCTTTAAAAATTGTGAATCACAATATTGTATATCTGTAACTTGTCAATATTGTAGATCAACTATACCTCAATTTTGGGGAAAAAAAGGTAGATTTGCAAGGTCTTAAAAAAACATCAAAAGCAACTGGGAGCCTCCTCCAATAGAATGCAGTGTGGTGGATGAACTGGGCATGGGAATGGCACTTCGTGTGTAAAGGCTTGACACATACAGCACTTAGAAACCGTGCCTGAAGCACAGGAGTAATGAGGGCTTCACCTCTAGACAGCAGCATGGTCTGTATCACAGAAATACTGACATGACCCCAGACTCTCCAGGTGGACAAGCTGAGGAGCCTCATGCCCGCCCTGAGTGAACCACAGACATCCCCAGCCAGTCCCTGCAATCCCAGCGATGCACAGAGATGGGCACACGTGCAGTCACCGCCACAACACTTGCTTCTGGCTACTTAACGTCTGGATGGAACTAATTGGACAAAATTGTTTTGACTGTCTCTCCCAAATCAGGTCTGTTCACAATTTGGTGCCTGAAAAAGATGAAAGGCCAGTGTTCTCAAGCGCCTGGAAGAAGTCTAATCCCTCCTCTTTGAAACTGACCTCCAGAGGCTTCTTTCTATAAACCTGGCAGGTGCCACCCTTCATTCCTTTTCTCTTTCATGATACTTGTGACTCAAACTGCAGATCCCGTGGCAAACAGAGAATATGTTTGGGAGAGACAGACTCACAAAACAGAGACTAAATGACGCAGCCATACAACCTGGACACCAGTGCAATGAGCAAACAGAAATAGAACCCACAAACCTATTGCCCATGGGGCTCCCCAATAGTAGGAAGGCTGCCAGTGCTCAGACACCAGGCATTCCCCTTGCACAATAGGGAAGGGAAGGGAGAGACAGACATACAGCTTCAGGTGAGGAAGCTTCTAGCTGACAAGTTCACTAACTGACCATCACTGTGCAGCTTTGTCAAAGCTCAACCCAATTCACCAAGCCTGATTCTCACCAAGTGCCCTCAGACTCACAATGGGGTGGATGCTTGACAGTCTCCAAGCAGGCTGCAAGGAGATTTTCAATCTAAAGGTGAACAAGCTGCTTGTTCTGGGTTTTATTCTCCAGGAACTGATAGCCGGGTAACAAAACTCACCTTCACCATCTGCAGTCAGGTTCTCGTATGAGTCCCAGCGGATTAGCGGGTCTGCTGTGTTGAAGTCCACAATCACCCTGTGGTCATTCTGCAAATGTTCACATCCTGCAGGGTGGTGGAAGGGACAGGGGTGGACAAAGGGTGTTAGTCCCAGTCAAGCCAGTACCTGCCAGCAATGCAGAGAGCAGCCTCTGCATCTGAGTGCCAGCCCAGCGTCCAGATCCACACCCTCTCCCACAAGCCTGCCAGCAATCTGAGCTGGAACTGAAAAACAGTGCAAACCACTTGGCAGGAAGGAGAGGTGAACACTGGTCCTCTGTCTACCAGGTGGGAGACTCTGTGCTCTGGATGCATTTCTGCACAAGGGGGTCACCTGGATGGCTCTGCAGGTCAAGGACCCAGGAGAACCCTGAGGAGCAGCCTCAGGGCTGGTGGACGGGAGGGGTGGGCTTGGGCTCTTGCCTTTCTGAGGCTTCTACGAGGATTCTTACCCCACAGCCCTGCATTTAACTTTTCATGCCTCAATCTATGGCACTGGGCACAGAAATAAGGTGCTTCTTTTCCACAGCTATTAAAAACTGAATTAAAACTTTCACAAATATAATCTCGGTGATGGAAATGAGCCATTTGTCTTCACAGTAAAGAGGCTGCTTTCTCTTCCAATGTATTTTTAGAAGAAAGGAGTCTATTGTGCACACAAATATTTGCAGTCTTTCTACTATATTTCTAGTCCTCTTTAAAAATATGTGGTTGTTTCTTGAGGGGAGAAATAAATAGGGCATCAAGTCATGGTCCCAATCCTGAAGTTCTGGGCCCTTCTTTAGGCAAGTCACACCATCTCTGGGGTCTTTTTGACCTACTTGGGCCCTACTGTCTCTAAGTTAACACCTTCCCACTGTCTAATATTCTATTTTTAATGTATTATAAATATTTCCAATTATGTACAAAGGTGGGAGGTTCTACAGAGACTCCAGCATACACACCATCCAACCAGGTCAGCATCTTGCTGCCCTCTCCACCCCCCTGCCAGAATTCTGTGTTCTACCCACCTTGAATCTTCTCAGGAGTGGCTGAGAAGACTAACTCAATCTTCCCATTATCAGGAAAACGGTCATCTAAAAAAGAAATCCTATTTCAACAAATTTGGAGACAAGACAATAAATGAATTTTGTCCTTATATTCCTACCAGGGCAACACCACTCCCAAATCTCCAACAGCACACCAATGACAAAGAAGATGTTAGTACTTTTACTGTTTCTCTAGAATTTTTTTCTTTGTTGGAACTACAATCAGTCTCTAGTGAGACTGGTAATAATTTTGTCAATAGGCTGGTTTATGGTGTGGGGGTGGGGGGCAGTAGTGGAGAACAATGAAAGGAACACACAAGGCTCCCGGGGGCCACCCACCGAGGGCCCATTCTCCCCACATTCAGTCTGGACCCCGGGAGGGACCTCACCTTTGCTGGCGTTGTCCAAATCCTCCTTCGCAAACACAAGTCTGTAGCCTTGAACAGCGCCGGTGTGAAACTGCAGGCGGAAAATGACGTCGCGGGTGGCCGAGCGGTACTTCTTGTGGTAGCACTTCACCTGGGGTAAAAGGGGTTGTGTTTTCCGGGGAGCCTCACCTTTGAGGATGGCTCCTGCGGGGGTGCACAGGCCGCCAGCAGGTCCCAACCTGGGAGACTGCCTGCAAACATCACTGCTTTGGTCCTCGGGTAGGACACAGGTGCAGTTCCAACAGCACAGGAATCCCGTGGTCCCTAGCCTCCAACAGACCATACCTCCACTTTGGAAGACATCTGAAGAATGAAATTGCACAGCCTCTTTTTCCTAATTTCATCGAAACACTCCACATTTTACCTTAAAGCCTTTCTGCTCTCGTGAAAGGAGCAGGCGGTCATTACTTTCCATACTCTGCTCAATATTTATGTTGTGTGCTATAATTGAGAGAGAGAGAAAGATGGCAAGAAGGGAGAAGGAAAGGGAAGGGAAAAGGCCTTGGAATGTAAATTCCATAGCTGGGCTGTCAAGACGTCTGGAATGACAGTTTGAGACCAGTGTCCAGAATCACCAGGGACGTGACTTGGATTCAGGCTGTGGCTCCAAGGCCCTAGGTCTCTGGGAGCAGCTCAGGCCTCTGGGGTGATGGTGCCAATACGCAGGGTAAAAGCACCCCTTCTGGGCACTTGGCAGGGAAGGGTGGGTGGAGGAGGGGCCCTGGCACCATTTCTCACCTTTCCATGGGGTCACCCTGCCTGGGGGTCTGGGGGTAGGGCTGCCCACGAGGAGAGCAGGAAGGCCACGGCAGACTGGTGTACTGCAGGAAAGGGGACCCGTCCTCCCTCCTAAGTAGAGCAGAGGCTCCTCCCCAGGGTCCCCAGAATCCAGAAGCAGGCTGGATTCTGCCCTCACACACCCAGAGTGGAGGAGCCCACGCCCTGCACTGCACATGCCCAGGAGGAAGGGAGGCTGGGCATGCAGGGACCTCACAGGCAGCCATGCTCACAAGAGTCAGGTCGGAAAGAGATGGGCTTCAGGTATCCTGTGCCAGGTCAATGAGAAGCACTCCCAGCAAGTATGGTCCAGACCAACAATGCAGGAGATGCTGCAGGTGACTGTTCTGTGTTTATGTTCAGTCACTCACTCATGTCTAACTCTTTGAAACCCCATGGACTGCAGCATGCCAGGCTTCCCTCTCCTTCACTATCTCCTGGAATGTGCTCAAACTCATGTCCATTGAATCAATGATGGCATCCAACCATCTCATCCTCTGTCCTCCCCTTCTCCTCTTGCCTTCAATCTTTTCCAGCATCATAGTCTTTTCCAGTGAGTGGACTCTTCGCATCAGGTGGCCAAAGTATTGGACCTTCAGCTTCAGCATCAGTCCTTCTAATGAATATTCAAGATTGATTTCCTTTTGGATTGTCTGGTTAGATCTCCTTGCTGTCCAAGGGACGTTCAAGAGTGTTCTCCAGCACCACAGTTCAAAGGCATCAATTCTTCAGTGCTCGGTCTTCTTTATGGTTCAACTTTCACATCTATACATCACTACTGGAAAAACCAAAGCTTTGACTATCCAAATTTTTGTTGGCAAAGTGATGTCTCTGCTTTTTAATATGCTGTCTAGGTTTGCCATTGTTTTTCTTCCAAAGAGCAAGTGTCTTTTAATTTCATGGCTGCAGTCACCGTCTGCAGTGATTTTGAAGTCCAAGAAAATAAAGGCTGTCACTGTTTCCACTGTTTCCCCATCTGTTTGCCACAAAGTGATGGGACCAGGCCTTCAGTAACCAGAGAACCATCACTCGAGAGAAAACATAAAGACCCAAGGAGCCCCTTGGTTTGCCCCTTAGGGCAAACCCCAAAGTCGTTTACCTCTGTGCTATCTACAAGGAAACAGTCTGATAAATAAATGAAGAAATGTACACAGACTGTCAGGGGAGCAATTCATATTGACAAACACAAGCCCCACATTCACTATGCGGGAGGCGCCAGGCAGCCTGTGCACACGTGGCTGGTGGGAATCCAGACTTAGGCCTGGCCTCCAGGCCCCTGTCCAGGGCTGGCATCTGGAACTAGCCCATGAGAACTCTTTAGGAATTTGACAACTTCCATTTACTCTCCAACAGCAAATGGATCTCCAGTCACAAGTCCTCTCTCACTTCATCCAGGGCCTCTGACTCCTCAGCAGGGCCCAACCAAAGGCTGTGCCCCCAGCCTTCCTTCTCGAGGCACTGCTTGCATCCTCACCCCCCCAAGGCCCCTGCCGCACAGTGACCGCTCAAGCAGAGGCCCCACACCATACTGACCGCTGATCCAAGGCCCCCACCCACACATGCTGCAGCAGGACCCCCACGGAGACGACGTGACCCCACGCACCTATCTCTGCTGGACGATGGACCCACCCTCTCTGTCAGCCTTTCTCCACTGCTACCCGGGAAGTGAGGGAAAGGGGGAGAAGACTTGGAGAAAAGGTAAGAGAGTTTCAGGCACATGCCAGTCTGACTCTGAAGCCTTTATCAATACTGAGGGAAACCAAGGCTGTAAAATAACAACAAGGCCTCCCTCCAGAAGCTGACCGCCCCTGAGGGAGGTGGCCCCAGGCCAGCCTACAGGGTCACACCTCAGAGAGCCAGTAGCTCCCCTCCCCCAGTTTGGCACCAGGTTCTGTGCACAGGCAGAGCCCCTGGTGGACACAGTGCATCACAGGTTCCGGATCAAGAAGCACCTAAGGGCGGGGGAGGATGCCCCTCAAGCACAGCTCCCTCTGGGGGAACCTTTCTCCTGCTCTGAGTTAAAGGGTTCATCCTGCAGCCAGGTCCTGATGTACACAGTTCATCCCAAGCAGAAGCCCCCAGGCCTGCCCCCACCTTTCCCAGAACCCAAGGCACTCCACGGTCTCCCCTCCTCTGGTCTCACCATCGCTCATCACAGCAGCTACACACACGCACGCGCGCGCGCATGCGCGCGCACACACACACACACACACACACACGCACAGAGGGTGACTCATCAGACGTGAATCCCAGCCCACTCCAGGCACCAGGAGAGGGGAGGCAGAGGTCACCAGGTGCCCTGGAGCAGGGGAGGAACGTCAGATGGGTTCACAAAAGTGATGTCTCTGCTTTTTAATATGCTGTCTAGGTTTGCCATTGTTTTTCTTCCAAAGAGCAAGTGTCTTTTAATTTCATGGCTGCAGTCACCGTCTGCAGTGATTTTGAAGTCCAAGAAAATAAAGGCTGTCACTGTTTCCACTGTTTCCCCATCTGTTTGCCACAAAGTGATGGGACCAGGCCTTCAGTAACCAGAGAACCATCACTCGAGAGAAAACATAAAGACCCAAGGAGCCCCTTGGTTTGCCCCTTAGGGCAAACCCCAAAGTCGTTTACCTCTGTGCTATCTACAAGGAAACAGTCTGATAAATAAATGAAGAAATGTACACAGACTGTCAGGGGAGCAATTCATATTGACAAACACAAGCCCCACATTCACTATGCGGGAGGCGCCAGGCAGCCTGTGCACACGTGGCTGGTGGGAATCCAGACTTAGGCCTGGCCTCCAGGCCCCTGTCCAGGGCTGGCATCTGGAACTAGCCCATGAGAACTCTTTAGGAATTTGACAACTTCCATTTACTCTCCAACAGCAAATGGATCTCCAGTCACAAGTCCTCTCTCACTTCATCCAGGGCCTCTGACTCCTCAGCAGGGCCCAACCAAAGGCTGTGCCCCCAGCCTTCCTTCTCGAGGCACTGCTTGCATCCTCACCCCCCCAAGGCCCCTGCCGCACAGTGACCGCTCAAGCAGAGGCCCCACACCATACTGACCGCTGATCCAAGGCCCCCACCCACACATGCTGCAGCAGGACCCCCACGGAGACGACGTGACCCCACGCACCTATCTCTGCTGGACGATGGACCCACCCTCTCTGTCAGCCTTTCTCCACTGCTACCCGGGAAGTGAGGGAAAGGGGGAGAAGACTTGGAGAAAAGGTAAGAGAGTTTCAGGCACATGCCAGTCTGACTCTGAAGCCTTTATCAATACTGAGGGAAACCAAGGCTGTAAAATAACAACAAGGCCTCCCTCCAGAAGCTGACCGCCCCTGAGGGAGGTGGCCCCAGGCCAGCCCACAGGGTCACACCTCAGAGAGCCAGTAGCTCCCCTCCCCCAGTTTGGCACCAGGTTCTGTGCGCAGGCAGAGCCCCTGGTGGACACAGTGCATCACAGGTTCCGGATCAAGAAGCACCTAAGGGCGGGGGAGGATGCCCCTCAAGCACAGCTCCCTCTGGGGGAACCTTTCTCCTGCTCTGAGTTAAAGGGTTCATCCTGCAGCCAGGTCCTGATGTACACAGTTCATCCCAAGCAGAAGCCCCCAGGCCTGCCCCCACCTTTCCCAGAACCCAAGGCACTCCACGGTCTCCCCTCCTCTGGTCTCACCATCGCTCATCACAGCAGCTACACACACGCACGCGCGCGCGCATGCGCGCGCACACACACACACACACACACACACGCACAGAGGGTGACTCATCAGACGTGAATCCCAGCCCACTCCAGGCACCAGGAGAGGGGAGGCAGAGGTCACCAGGTGCCCTGGAGCAGGGGAGGAACGTCAGATGGGTTCACCCCCCCCTCCCCGCCCCCTGGCTGCCAGCTCTCAGTCATCCTGGGGCACAGATACCTTCCCAGGCCCCGCGTGACTCCAATGTCTAAAGATTAATTTTTCACAGGACAAGGGCTCAGGGTGGAAGGAAGAGCAGGGTATACCACTGCCACAGAGCATCCGCCTCCTGCACACACGCGCCCTGCCTGAGGGGCTTCTGGGGACGCCTGACAAGCGGCACTGGCCGAGACCTGAGCCCTCCCCACAGTCCTGCCCGCTGTTTCACCATATTCTCTTCCCACTGTTCGCGGTTGTACTTGCCACCCGCTCCAGTCCTCCTGGCCAGCTCAGGAATGACACCAGCTATCTCTTGAAGGCACAGAAAACCACAGGCGTCTCCCTCGCGTGAGGACCTACAGCTCCGACCAGAGAGGAGATGGACCCACCTCCACCCAGGGGAACCCCAACTCTGGCACCTCCTGCAGAGTCAG